TCTGACAAGATAAATGAAGCAGTCAGTGTCCGTCTCCTCTCCCCTAAACGAAGGGCTCAGCTCCTCAGTCTGATAGGGAAGAAAAATATAATCACCTGCCTGTTGGATGGTGTGAGAACAAGAGGATTATGGGACACAGGTTCACAGGTTTGCCTGATAAATGAGAAGTGGAGACAACAGACCATACCACATACCACAGTTAGAAGCATAGCCGAAATCCTCGGACCTGGTACACTAGATGGGAGGGCAGTGAATCAGACACCAATTCCTTTTTCTGGGTGGGTTGAAATCAAGTTTGGGTTGCCCACAGTTGAGGCCACACAAGTTAAAATAAATCAGACAGAGACAAAAATGCCAACCACTGAACAACCATCTTCACCAGCGACAGGGAAACAGACAGAACAAGAAAAAGACAAAAAGGGCGTTTGGGACCCCCCAGTACCCCTTGATCATCTTCCCCTAGCACAGCAGCAGAAAGTCAAACAGCTACTGAGGGAGGAGAGGAATGTCTTCGCTCGGGATGAACATGATGTGGGAACCATACCCTCACTGGAGCTGAAAATCCGCCTGTAAGGCGGACATATATATCGGTACCCAAACCACTTCATAAAGAGGTAAAAGAGTACCTGTAAGACCTGTTAAACAGAGGGTGGATAACTAAGTCAAAATCTCCTTATTCCAGTCCCATCGTGTGTGTACGGAAAAGAGATGGGAGTCTCCACCTATGCTGTGACTACCGAGAGCTTCATAGGAAGTCAATCCCTGATCGCCATCCAATACCACACATACAAGACATGCTCAACACCTTGAAAGGAAGGTCCTGGTTTTCTGTCCTTGACCAAGGAAAGGCCTACCACCAGGGTTTCCTGGAAGAGTCAGGTCGCCCTCTCACTGCATTTATCACACCATGGGGACTGTATGAATGGGTGAGAATCCCCTTTGCATTATCATCTGCTCCCGCAGAGTTTCAGAGGTCAGTGGAGGAATGCTTGCTTGGGCTGCGAGATGAAATATGCTTACCTTATCTGGACGACAACCTGGTTCACTCACAGACATTCGAGGACCACTTGAATGATTTGAAGAAGGTCCTGCAGCGTTACCAGAGCCATGGAGTTAAATTGACGGCAAGAAAATGTAAGCTCTTCAAAAATCTGGTCAGATTCCTGGGAAGGCTCGTCACCAAGTATGGTCATACCATGGACCCTGCAGAGGCTTTAAAGCAAGTGAGGAAAGTGTTGGGATTCATTTCCTATTATCGCAACTATATCCCAAACTTTTCACGCATAGCCAAGCCTATCTATGACCTCCTCTCCACAGAAAAGACACTAAAAACAAAGCACAAGCAACGGATGCCGGACAAAAGAACACAAAGTCAAGGGGGTCAGTTGCCGTCATCTCATTCAGTTGTGTGGTCAGCTGAACACCAGCAGGTACTCTCTCGGCTAGTTGACTTCCTCTCTCAACCACCAGTTTTAGGGTACCCAGACTTCGGGCAGTCATTCATCTTGATGCATCACAGGAGGGACTCCTGTGCGGTGCTTTACCAGAGGCAACATGGAAAGCTGGTAGTGATTGCATATGGGTCCAGGACTCTAACTGCTCCTGAGAACCACCTTCACTCAGGAAGTTGGAGTTTCTGGCCATGAAGTGGGCCATATGTGAGAGGTTCAGGGACTATCTTTACTACTCTTCACCATTCCTAGTCTACACTGACAATAACCCTCTCACATATGTGCTCACCACGGCCAAGCTGAATGCAACCACCCACAGGTAGGTAGCTGAACTCGCTGACTTCCAGTTCTCCATCAAGCCTGGCAGGGGCTAACAGGGATGCTGATGGTCTCTCACGCATGCCCTTGGATATGGAACAGTACATGCAAACCTGCACACAAGCAGTGGCACCTGATGTCATAAACAGTGTGACTCAGGCTCTGGCAGTCCAACTACAAGGGAGTGAACCATGGCTATGTCCGCTGACCATCTCAACAGTGTTAACAGGGGAAAACACGGAAGTGGGAATGTCAGTGGTGGAGGTCCCAAAAACATCTCTGAGAGAGGCACAAAAGGAGGATCCAGTGATTGGGGAAGTGCTGAAGTATGTTGTCTCAAACTACTGGCCAAAAGGAGGAAAACAGATCCGCAATAAGGAAATAGCTGCTCTGGTCAGAGAAAAACAGAAACTGCACCTTGATGAGGAGGGTTTACTGTACAGGAACACGGCCACAACTACTTCTGCCCAAGAAGTTTCACAAGCTTGTCTATAAAGAGCTGCATGGGGGAGATGGGTCACCTTGGAGTAGAGAGGGTTCTACTCTAATCCGTGACCGCTTTTATTGGCCTCATATGCAGAGGGATGTTGAGTATTACATCAGACAGGTGTGCAGCTGTCTAAAAAACAAACGTTCCAACAAGCCAACCAGAGCGCCCCTCACCAACATCGTCACCACATACCCGTTCGAGCTGGTGGCCATTGATTTCTTACATTTGGAGAAATGTAAGGGAGGATATGAATATATCCTTTTGCACAAAAATTAGCTTGAGGCTTGATAATTAATATTTGACTTTACTCTGGAAACACCTCAATTTCTTAACACAAGAAAATTAAGTTAAGCCTAATAAAGAAGCTCAGCCTTGCTATTATCCTACATAATACAATCTGATGCAACAACAGTTGCCTTCACTTTTTAGTAGATCAAGCTCAATATTTCTTATCAGTGTAAATCAATGACGTAAGAATCATAGCCTAGTTTATAACTACTACGCAAATTCCGTCAAACCCATCTCAATTTCAGGCTTAAATTAATAGGACTCTGTGCCTTAGCCCCGCCAAACTTCAACGTTAAGCCCACCCTTGTCCGGTTAACGAACCGCCCATTTCAAGTAGGGAATATGAAATACAGATAACTGGGTTGGTGAACACATGCAGATACAGATACTACCGCTATCCCCTACAGAATAGTGTGTGGGACGGTCGTTGCTTGGTAGTTACAAGGCTTTTCGTCTGTGCACCAGGTGCCCACCCTGGCTGCATAAAGGTGTGACATATGAACTTTATATCCACCTTCCTGTGTCTCTTTTATGTACGCCTGCTATGTTGTTTTCAGGTGAAGGTGAATCTGTACATAGAGAGAGATCTATGATTAGCTACTGCAGCTAGCAGTTCCTGTTTGCAGCTTACTATGGATAAACGAAAACAATGTTGTTGTCCTAATGAATCTTTTCCACCTGGCCGTTCCCCTGTGGATGATATGGTGTAGTCTGGACCCCCTGACTCCAATATATTCCTCAAGCTTGGCGAACAGTTTGTTTTCTAAACTCCCCTTCCCTGATCATGATGGAGTTTTGGTGGAAAAAACAAATCACAATACAAAGTCTCCAAATATCTTTCTTGCAGCGGTCTTGGCAGCTTTGTCTCTGGCAGGGGTAGGCCTGAGCAAACCGTGTGAACGTGATCCATCACCAGAAGCGATAAGATTTCATATCCTCCCTTACATTTCTCCAAATGTAAGAAATCAATGCCACCAGCCTCCGAACGGGTATGTGGTGACGATGTTGGTGAGGGGCGCTCTGGTTGCTTGTTGGAACGTTGTTTTTTAGACAGCTGCCACCTGTCTGATGTAATACTCAACATCCCCTCCTGCATATGAGGCCAATAAAAGCGGTACGATAGAGTTAGACGCCCTCTCTACTCCCAGGTGACCCCATCTCCCCCCATGCAGCCCTCCCTTTATAGACAAGCTGTGAAACTTCCTTGGGCAGAAGTAGTTGTGGCCGTGTTCCTGTACAGTAATACCCTCCTCATCAAGGGCAGTTTCCTGTTTTTCTCTGACCAAGAGCAGCTATTTCCTTATTGCGGATCTGTTTTCCTCTTTTGCCAGTATTTGAGACAACATACTTCAGCACTTCCCCCAATCACTCGGATCCTCCTTTTGTGCCCCTCTCTCAGAGATGTTTTTGGGGACCTCCCACCC